AGTCGGTATTATGAGTTTATGTGTTTTGATGTACTGTAGGTAGTTCGGAGTCCCGGATCTGATCACGGACATGACGAGTAGTCTCGAAATGGTCGAGACATAAAGATCGATATATTGGAAGGCTATGTTTGGACATCGGAATGGTTCCGGATGAGTTCGGGCATTTACCGGGGTACCGGGGTACCGGGGGGTTACCGGAGCCCCCGGGGAGTCAATGGGCCTTATTGGGCCTTAGTGGGAGAGAGGAGGAGGCGGCCAGGTGGAGGGCGCCCCCCCCCCAATCCCAATCCGAATTGGGTGCCCCCCCCCTTTCCTTCCCTCTCTCTCCCTCTTCCTTCTTCTCCTACTCCAACCAGGGAAAGGGGGAAAACCTACTCCTACTGGGAGTAGGACTCCCCCTTGGGCGCGCCATAGAGAGGACCGGCCCTCCCCTCCTCCCCTCCTTTATATACAGGGGAGGGGGCACCCCATAGACACATAAGTTGAGAGTTGTCTTAGCCGTGTCCGGTGCCCCCTCCACAGATTTCCACCTCGGTCGTATCGTTGTAGTGCTTAGGTGAAGCCCTGCATCGGTAACTTCATCATCACCATCATCACGCCATCGTGCTGACGAAACTCTCCCTCGGCCTCAACTGGATGAAGAGTACGAGGGACGTCACCGAGCTGAACGTGCGCAGATCGCGGAGGTGTCGTACGTTCAGTACTTGATCGGTTGGATTGCGAAGACGTTCCACTACATCAACCGCGTTTCATAACGCTTCCGCTTTCGGTCTACGAGGGTACGTGGACATACTCTTCCCCTCTCGTTGCTATGCGTCACCTATATGGATCTTGCGTGTGCGTAGGAAATTTTTTGAAATTACTGCGTTCCCCAACATGCATATCAAGAGATAGGGCATCGGAAATAGTATAACATGCAAGTGCGATAAAAGTAAAGGACGTAGAGATAGGCAGACTAAACGCAATGAAGACACAGTGATTTTTGGCATGGTTCTCATAGGTGGCGCTGTCATACATCCACGTTGATGGATATTTCAACCCACATAGGGTAAAGGTTGCACGAGTCCACGGAGGGCTCCACCCACGAAGAAGCAACGTTGTCTATTTCATCATGGTTTACGCCCACGAAGGACTAGCCTCACTCTGGGTAGTTCACAAAGTAGGCGATCTCCTTGTCCTTACAAACTCCTTGGTTCAACTCCACAAGTTTGGAGGCTCCCAAGTGACACCTAACCAATCTACTCTCCAAAAGGTAATAGATGTTGTTGATGATGATGAATTCATTGCTCTTGTGCTTCAAAAGACAGTCTCCTCAACACTCAATCACTCTCTCACATATTTGGCTTGGGGTAGGAGAAGGATTGGAGTGGAAAGCAACTTGGGGAGGCTAGAAATCAAGGTTCAAATGGTTGGATTGGAATGCCTTGATCTCAACACCAGTGTAGGTGGTTCTCTCTCAGAAAATGGATATAGGAAGTGTAGTTTCGCTCTGGTTGCTCTCACTAAGAGTAAGTGGTGGTGGGGGTATATATAGCCTTCACCAAAAAACTAAAATTACAAACTTTAAGCAAAACTCAGTGACACAAAAAAAGAAATATCGGTCAGACCAAACAGTGTAAAAGATTCGAATGTTAGGCTTTTCGATGGGACCGGATGAATCCACTCGGTGAGACCGGTACATGATGCGATCGGTTCATCTTGGTGATTCCGAAATGACTTTGACTGGGTACAGAAACTTGGTCACTGCACTTCGGTAGGACCGAATTTCATCTAAGTTGTATTAAGTTTCTAGGGTTTGGCTTATGACACTATCTTGAGTATCTTGGTGCGACCGAGTTTGACTTAGGGTTTTGGACAGTTTGGAATGTGGGGAAGTTGTTGAGGGTTTGGGAGCAATATCTTCAAGCACTTGAGCAAATGACTCATGATCCAAACTCATGCCCTTTGAATAGTATTGCCTTTCCTATGGATTCAATGTGATCTTTGATCCCTTAACCAAAAATGTAGGGTCTTGAAGCTTTTGCCCTTTGTAGCTTGAGGGGGTCCACTTCTTGAGATGATAGAGTCAACTCATGTATTTCGACATGAAAATGTTAGTCCAACAACATGTATTTCGACATGAATTACCAAAACTACCAAGGGAACAAATGTGCTTTCAGCCTTGCACTCAATGTTGTGGAGTTTGCATTGCACGCAATTCTTGAGATGATAGAGTCAACTCATAAGCAAAGCCAATCCGTCCATGAAACATGTGACATAGTGCGAAGAATCAGGGGCTTCTTCATAAGCAGTCAATTGATCATTCAATATCGAGAATCTGCCCACAGAATCTTCCACTACAGAAGTCTGAGCAATATAGAATAAACTACAGATCAACTGTTGATGTTGATTTCTGCCGAACTAGCCTTGTAAGAAACCACATAACTCGTCCCATGTTCCCTTGGGAACTTTCCTCTGAACTGATTCTATCCATCTCATTGTTACTCCTTTGAATTGTATTGACGCCAGTGAAATCCACATATTGTGCGGTGTACTCCATAACCGGAATTGATTCTCACGCCGTGTTTGCCATAATTGCAGGTTAGATCCATCGAACCATGGCAATTCGACACAAATCCAGTACCACCCGAGTGAGCAAACTTAGAACGAACAGTGTCCCGTAACATAGAGGGTGAAGAAAGGTTGGACTAGCACATACCCCTGATAGGAGGAGGGACATAAACGTTATCTGCCTTCCCCCGGTGTTCTCTATCGGTGCCTTGGTCGACGACTGGCTGCTCTCACCTACCGGAAAAAAGCTTAAGCGGAGCAGCCTTATCCATCGACATTACATGGGTGTATCAACCGGTCAGACCTTAGGAGTTGGCACGTTCACCTTGCCCAAATTTGTGCGGATCCGAGCAATGTAGCCGCCTAACTCCTCACGCACGTCGTTGATGAGCACAGTGATGATGTTCGTTGAGCATCTTGTGGATGACCATGAGCATCTTATCGGGTTGATCCTTGAAGCGTCGATCCAAGGAGCCATTGAAGTCAGTCTTCAGTAGCTAATAAACCTCGCATGCCTCTAGTGAGAGCTCATTCATAACTTGTTGTGACACTAATCCTTATACCCCATCTGATGTGGATGTTGGGGAAGCTTCAGGACGAAATGGATGTTGATGCCAAATATAAGGATTTGGCTCTCCATCTCCTTAGAAAGGGTGTTTCTCACTGAATTTCCTTCCATCCACCCTAGCAACAAGTCACGATTACGATGGGTACAGTAATTCAAATGCAGGTTGAAGCCTTCCTTTCTTCCTAGACAAGTCTACACAAAGCACACCTCTCAGATTATAAAGCAGACGCCGGCCGTTACACCCGATTAACGGGCCCAGTTCAGGCTTGCAAGCCACTGGGGTAGACGACACATATGAGTGGGTCGAGCTGCAGGCCCACGAGTTGCAGTTGGCATTTCCCTCTCCTTCGTTCTTTTGCTTTGTTGTTTGAGGTGTTGCCGGCGCAAGGTCAAGGGAGTTTGGGTGGCCTTACAATTTGGAGGGGACAATTGTTTCCTTCTTGGTGTCATGTAGGATTCCACGATGACTCTTTTTTCTATTTTTTTGAACAACACTAACTTCCACTATTCAATGGATAATTGCAAGTTTTTTATTGTTTTGTTTTTTGAGTGAAGGATAATTGCAAGTTTGCTTAGAATTGAAACTACAACCACAAGTTGTTGCTGAGAAATAGATGTTCTCCTATTTATTTTACTATTGATAATTGGGTGCATTGGCGTGCGACTCCATTGAGCGATGAGGGCAAGGGAATCTCCGGTTAGTAGTTTAGGTTAGGGTTTTTAGTCCTCGCAGGTGCGACACTCGGGCGGATGGCGGCGCCTCTTCTTTGAGTTTGTCTTCCAGGCTCCGATCATCCTTGAGTGCGTCCGTCTGGACGTAGTAGACGGAGTTTCAGCATAGATTCCCACCATCTTCTTGGGGCGGTGAGGTTAGGGTTTCTCGTCATGTGACGAGATTTTGTGTCAGGTGTTTCAGATCTATGCAAGGGTTCAATGATTACGAATGCGCCTTCAGGTCGATGGTCCTTAAGGGCATGTGCACAAAGACTTCTCGGCTGTCATCGACAAGGTCAAACCGACTCCAGTAAGAGCGACGACATCGGCGCGTCGGCGGCTTGTTCTGACGGCTGTAGTGGTCATTCGGTGGTCCCAGGATCTCAATATATTTCTTATTATGTTTGAGATGCCATGTACTTCCAATGAACTTTTACATAGATCTGATCTTTTTGGCCAAGAAAAGGTGAATTTGATGGCTTTTGGAGGGGACTAGTTGCTGGTGTCACGAAGGATTGCATGTGAGCTCCCATTTTTCTTTTGTTTTTTAGAAATGCATGCTCTAGCCAATGCGATCAAAATACTGATCTGGTAGAAGACTTTTTGGCTTCGATACCATGTAGAAGTGCATGCTCTAGCCCATGCAACCAAAATACCGATCTGATGGAAGACCTCTTGGCTTTGATATCATGTAGAAGTGCATGCTCTATCCAGTGCAACCAAAAGACTGATATGATGCAAGACATCTTGACTTTGATACCATGTACAAGTGCATGCTTTAGCAATGCAACCAAAAAATCGATCTGATGAAAAAGACTAGACAATACATTTATATGTCAGCACTATTGAACAGCTAACATCCAATTTTAAATTTTCAAGTTGTTGCTCAGAAGTCAGAATTGAAGCTGCAACCACACGGTGTTGCCGAGAAAATAGCATCTTTGGTTTTGCAAAAGAGTAGTATAAATTACTACTGCTAGTAGTTGGCGTCACGATGGGATTTTGAACATGTACTTTCCTTTTTATTTTCCTTCCGACGGTTGACTCTCATTTTTTAACAGATATAGTATAATCATCCAAGCTGTTGTTCCATTCCTACAACTACAAGAACACACACCATGGATGCATCCAGCAACTCGGCATTATCACCACATCTTCTCGGTCGCTCATGGCCCAGCCGCTACCATTCCTCGCGCCACTCGTCACCTTACTCTTCCTGGCGGCGGCAACCACGACGGCAACAGCGGCCGCAGACGGTGTCCCCGCCGCCGCCGGCAATGGCGGCATGACGCACCTCCACTTCTACTTCCACGAGATATACACCGCCGGGCCGAACGGCACGACGGCGGCGGTGGCGTCCCCGCCGGCGGGCGCCAGCGGCTCGGCCTTCGGGTTCGGCTACGTGGGCGTGGTCGACGACATGCTCCGCGAGGGCGCCGACCCGGCGTCCCGCCTCATCGGCCGCGCGCAGGGGCTCACCGCGGGCGCCTCGCTCTCGGAGGTGGCGATCACCACGTTGCTCAACTTCGTGTTCACGGACGGGCCGTACAACGGCAGCACGCTGGCGATGTTCGGCCGCGCGGTGCTGGGCTCGGTGATGGAGCGGCCGATCGTGGGGGGCACCGGCGCGTTCCGGATGGCGCGCGGGTACACGCACAGCCGGATGGTCGAGTCCGCGGACCCCGGGAACCTGCTCGTCCTCGAGTACGACGCCTACGTCTTCCACTAGGAAATACGTACTCTACTGGGACGCGGAGTTTATGCTCCCGAACTCATCTGCACCCACATTGACAACACATCAAATTATCTATCACACAAAAAAATAGATTTTTTTGATTTTTTTTTTTAGTATTTGTTTTGATTTGTTTTGATTTTTTTCGGACCAGGAGCATATCAGCCTGGGCACCGAGTTGAATTTCCGTACTCTACTACCTTTTTTGAGCATTAAAACTTTATTCATCAAATAAGAGCAAGATCATTTACATAAAAATGCAGAATAAAGTCCGGGACAACATCCCAAATTTCAGACTTGCTAAGACTAAAGCTATGCTTTGCTAAGCCATCCGCTACCATATTCGCTTCTCTGCTACAATGAGTAAAACTGATGCTTTTAAATTCCATGGCCATAAGAGAGCATTCTACTACTATTGGAACATCAGTTCTCATGTATGCGTTTGGGTCAGATATAGCCTCCAAAGCAGTCGTACAGTCAGACTTTAAAATAAGCTTAGTGCATCCAAAATTCACTGCAAGGATCAGACCACACCTGATAGCTAACAATTCCGCAGAGCTTGCACTAGACACATGCGGTATTGCTTAATTTGCTTGGTGGTTTCGATTCGTACATGTTATTCTGGCTTTAATTCAAAAGTCTACATGTTTTCTCTTTCCTCAACAACAACAACAACAACAACAACAACAACAAAGCCTTTAGTCCCAAACAAGTTGGGGTAGGCTAGAGGTGAAACCCATAAAATCTTGCAACCAACTCATGGCTCTGGCACATGGATAGCAAGCTTCCACGCACCCCTGTCCATAGCTAGCTCTTTGTCGATACTCCAATCCTTCAGGTCTCTCTTAACGGACTCCTCCCATATCAAATCGGTCGACCCTGCCCTCTCTTGACATTCTCCGCACGCTTTAGCCGTCCGCTATGCACTGGAGCTTCTGGAGGCCTGCGCTGAATATACCCAAACCATCTCAAACGATGTTGGACAAGCTTCTCCTCAATTGGTGCTACCCCAGCTCTATCTCGTATATCATCATTCCGGACTCGATCCTTCCTCGTGTGGCCACACATCCATCTCAACATACGCATCTCCGCCACACCTAACTGTTGAACATGTCGCCTTTTAGTCGGCCAACACTCCGCGCCATACAACATTGCGGGTCGAACCGCCGTCCTGTAGAACTTGCCTTTTACCTTTTGTGGCACTCTCTTGTCACAGAGAATGCCAGAAGCTTGGCGCCACTTCATCCATCCGGCTTTGATTCGATGGTTCACATCTTCATCAATACCCCCATCCTCCTGCAATATTGACCCCAAATACCGAAAGGTGTCCTTCCGAGGTACCACCTGGCCATCAAGGCTAACCTCCTCCTCCTCACAGCTAGTAGTACTGAAACCGCACATCATGTACTCGGTTTTAGTTCTACTAAGCCTAAACCCTTTCGATTCCAAGGTTTGTCTCCATAACTCTAACTTTCTATTTACCCCCGTCCGACTATCGTCAACTAGCACCACATCATCCGCAAAGAGCATACACTATGGGATATCTCCTTGTATACCCCTTGTGACCTCATCCATCACCAATGCAAAAAGATAAGGGCTCAAAGCTGACCCCTGATGCAGTCCTATCTTAATCGGGAAGTCATCGGTGTCGACATCACTTGTTTGAACACTTGTCACAACATTATTGTACATGTACTTGATGAGGGTAATGTACTTTGCTGGGACTTTGTGTTTCTCCAAGGCCCACCACATGACATTCCGCGGTATCTTATCATAGGCCTTCTCCAAGTCAATGAACACCATATGCAAGTCCTTCTTATGCTCCCTATATCTCTCCATAAGTTTCGTACCAAGAAAATGGCTTCCATGGTCGACCTCCCAGGCATGAAACCAAACTGATTTTTGGTCACGCTTGTCATTCTTCTTAAGCGGTGCTCAATGACTCTCTCCCATAGCTTCATTGTATGCTCATCAGCTTAATTCCACGGTAATTAGTACAACTCTGAACATCCCCTTGTTCTTGAAGATTGGTACTAATATACTATGTCTCCATTCTTCTGGCATCTTGTTTGCCCGAAAAATGAGATTGAAAAGCTTGGTTAGCCATACTATCGCTATGTCCCCGAGACCTTTCCACACCTCAATGGGGATACAATTAGGGCCCATCGCCTTGCCTCCTTTCATCCTTTTTAAAGCCTCCTTCACCTCAGACTCCTGGATGCGCCGCACAAAACGCATGCTGGCCTCATCAAAGGAGTCATTCAGTTCAATGGTAGAACTCTCATTCTCCCCATTGAACAGCTTGTCGAAGTACTCCCGCCATCTATGCTTAATCTCTTCGTCCTTCACCAAGAGTTGGCCTGCTCCGTCCTTGATGCATTTGACTTGGCCAATATCCCTCGTCTTCCTCTCCCGGATCTTAGCCATCTTATAGATGTCCCTTTCACCTTCCTTCGTGCCTAACCGTTGGTAGAGGTCCTCATATGCCCGACCCCTTGCTTCACCAACAGCTCGCTTTGCGGCCTTCTTCACCATCTTGTACTTCTCTATGTTGTCTGCACTCCTATCCAGGTATAGGCGTCTGAAGCAATATTTCTTCTCTTTAAGCGCCTTCTGGACATCATCATTCCACCACCAGGTATCTTTATCTTCGCTTCTCCTTCCTCTGGACACTCCAAACTCCTCCGAGGCCACCTTACGAATGCAAGTCGCCATCTTCATGCACACATTGTCCGCATCCCCTCCTTCCTCCCAAGGGCCCTCCTTAAATACCCTCTCCTTGAACACCTGAGCTACCTCCCCCTTGAGCTTCCACCACTTCGTTCTAGCGACCTTGGCACGCTTATCCCGCTGGACACGAATCCGAAAGCGGAAGTCAGCAACCACCAGCTTATGCTGGGGTACAACACTCTCCCCAGGTATCACCTTACAGTCTAGGCACGCACGCCTATCTTCTCTTCTCGAGAGGATGAAATCAATCTGGCTAGAGTGTTGGCCACTACTAAAAGTCACCAGATGTGATTCTCTCTTTCTAAAGAGGGTGTTAGCTACAATCATGTTGTAGGCTAGAGCAAAGCTTAAGACATCTTCTCCTTCTTGATTCTTGATGCCATAGCCAAAGCCCCCATGCGCCCCTTCAAAATCTGTGTTAGATGTACCCACGTGGCCATTGAGGTCTCCTCCTATGAAGAGCTTCTCACCAATCGGTACACTCCTAACCATGTCTTCCAAGCCTTCCCAGAACTCCCTCTTGGTGTTCTTATTGTGGCCTACTTGCGGGGCATATGCGCTGATAACATTGAGAACCAAGTCCTCAGCTACCAGCTTGACCAGGATAATTCGGTCCCCACGTCTCCTGACGTCTACCACTCCATACTTGAGGCTCTTGTTGATCAAGATGCCTACGCCATTTCTGTTTGCAGCCGTCCCCGTGTACCACAGCTTGAAGCCGGTATCCTCCACCTCCTTCGCCTTCTGTCCTCTTCATTTGGTTTCTTGGACGCAAAGGATATCAACACCTCTCCTCACTGCTGCATCAACTAGCTCCCGAAGCTTCCCTGTCAGAGACCCTACGTTCCAGCTACCTAAGCGAATCCTCCTAGGCTCGGCTAGCTTCCTTACCCTTCGCACTCGTCGAGTCAAATGCGAAGACCCTTGCTCATTTTCCACTACATCCGGGCGCCGATGTAGCGCGCCACTAAGGATGCGACGACCCGATCCTCACTCACTTGCCACCGTATCCGGATCAAGATACGGCGCGCCACTTGGGGGGTGACGGCCCGGCCCTTGCCCATTTTCCACCACACCCGGGTTCCGATGTTGCGCGTCGCTGAGGGGTTACGCCCCAACGAAAATCTTTTGGGTTTCATCTCCATAAGAGTGGCTGAGTTTTTACGTTGGCTCGCCAAGCCTATCACAACCCTCCTCCTTTACCCGGGCTTGGGACCGGCTATGTTGAGACAACATAGGCGGAGTTTTCTCTTTCCTCAGCACAAATGGAAATTTATTTGTAGGCATTGATCCGAATCCCGAACATTTGTACTTGAAACATGAACATTTCTTGTTTGATACTGTATATTACACCTGAGTCTCACTCTCCTAAGTTGGGTTCCTCTTAGCGCATGTATTCACTACAGTACAAGTGTGCCAACCTGTGTACATACAACAAAAGAACAAGAGATCAGAAGGTGAGCTCGTCAGCGAACGCCTTGGCCAGCTTCTGCGAAGGGCTGAGGCTCCCGCCGCGGCTGATCCGGAGCGACTCGATCGACTTCTGGATCTCCATGGTCATGGCGCTGTCCACGCTGCCCTGCGACAGCCGCCTGTGCGCCTTCTGCAGGTGCAGCTTCAGCGAGCTGGTGCTCAGCCCCACGTTCTTGCCGCATATCGGGCACACCTTCATCTCAGGCCGCTTCTGCTGCCAGTCCATCGACGCCTTGCCGTGCAGTTTCTTGTCCAGAGCTAGCAGTGCCTTGGCGAAGCCGTCGTTCGGTTGCGCGCGGCGGTGTACTTTCTTTAGTAAGTTCCAGGCCTTCGCAAGCGTGAAGCCCCTGAGAAAAGTGGCATCTTAGTTTTAGTCTTGGAAGTGGGAAAGTATACGGCATCAAATGCAGATGTGACAAAGCTAAAATTCCTACTTTCTGAGCATCAAGTAGGCAAGGACGACCGTGGCGCTCCGGCTTTTCCCTTCAAAGCAATGGATGAGGACCTTACCCCCAACACGGTCGACCTGGTCAATAAAATCTGATGCTTCTTCAAAAAGATCGCTGATGTTTGCATCATCATCATCACTAATCTGCACAAGATAGCACAGTTGGTTTTCCATCAATACAAAAAATCAGAATTATATAACACAGTACTAAACCAAAGGTTGACGCTCTTACTGAAAAGTTCTTGTACTGAAAAAGATCAGGAAACTGGGTATCAGATTGACCAATCTCATTCGAACACAAACATAGTATATGGGTAATGCCCAAATGCTGGAGGGTGTACTTAGA